TAGCCCAGGACTAAGATAAACTCTCAGAGTATATACACACCGTGAAGCTGGGTATACCTCTAGTTAACAGAGCCACTAAGTCAGTCATATATTCAGAAATATTACAATAAGTATCACATAGATAATTACACAACTCCACCTTATACTCACCTCAAGAACATGAACCAGAAAGCAAGCCAAATCATCTTCATGTTTGTGCTATACTTATAAGTACTAAAAACTCCGTTTTGGATCAAAATTATTATATAATACTTAGGCTGGTATCGAGGTACTCCCCAAGGTCGAACTACTGACCTTTCAACAGGATGCAAACCCACAACAGGTGTCTAGCTTACGAGTACCTATTTATAACTAGGTGAACACAGTAGGTGAAAGGAAATGTGCCCAACCATTTCTGTCTCGTTCCGGAATCGAATCCGGGAAATCCGATTATGTGTTGAGAACGAAGCCAAATTCCACGAAATAATAGAGGGAATGTTAAAGAAAACTGAAAGAAAATGAAAACAATCTAACGAAATCTAGGCCTAACCTGGCAAAATCTAGGCCTAACCTGGCAAAATTTAGCCCTATTTAATACATCTTAGGTTACGTTATGCCTATTATGTTAAACTATTAGATAAGTATTCCTAATAAATTTAAACTGCTGATACATCAAATTTAATTTCATGACTCATTTAGATTAAAACATTTAGATTTAAAAATTCGATTTCACTCAATAATCTTCATTCTCGCACGAAGTTATACGAATAAAATTTCTCAATAAAGATTTATTTTAAATATTTTTATCTACCTTGTGAGTTCTACCACATAATAACTATTTAAAAACTTGTCTTGGATCGAATGGAAGTGGTTAGTAACGAGGGAATAAACGTATCTGTACTGTAAAAGAAATTGATGGTGGTACAGTGCCCGAGAAGCACTGTACACCTGGTGTTGTGATGCTATGGTTGCCACTGTAGCTGGCTGGTGGAGTGTGGTGGTGTACTGTACAACTGGTCTTATGTACTGTAAGTGCTGCTGTGGATGACTGCTGGAGTGTGGTGGCGGATGAGAACCACTGGGCTGTGGTACCCACCACAGCCGGGCTGTGGTGGGTACGTGGCCCTGCGGGCCGCTCCAAGCAACAGCCTGGTGGACCAAACTCTCACAAGTCGAGCCTGGCCTCGGGCCGGGCTTGGGGAGTAGAAGAAGAACTCCCAGAACCCCATCAACCAGGTATCAACCAACCAGGCTGTACACCTTGTCTTATAAAGCTGTGGATGACTGCTGGAGTGTGGTGGTGGATGAGAACCACTGTACACCTGGTCTTATAAAGCTGTGGATGACTGCTGGAGTGTGGTGGCGGATGAGAACCACTGTACACCTGGTCTTATAAAGCTGTGGATGACTGCTGGAGTGTGGTGGTGGATGAGAACCACTGTACACCTTGTCTTATAAAGCTGTGGATGACTGCTGGAGTGTGGTGGTGGATGAGAACCACTGTACACCTGGTCTTATAAAGCTGTGGATGACTGCTGAAGTGTGGTGGCGGATGAGAACCACTGTACACCTGGTCTTATAAAGATGTGGATGACTGCTGGAGTGTGGTGGCGGATGAGAACCACTGTACACCTGGTCTTATAAAGATGTGGATGACTGCTGGAGTGTGGTGGCGGACGAGAACCACTGTACACCTGGTCTTATAAAGCTGTGGATGACTGCTGAAGTGTGGTGGCGGATGAGAACCACTGTACACCTGGTCTTATAAAGATGTGGATGACTGCTGAAGTGTGGTGGCGGATGAGAACCACTGTACACCTGGTCTTATAAAGATGTGGATGACTGCTGGAGTGTGGTGGCGGATGAGAACCACTGTACACCTGGTCTTATAAAGCTGTGGATGACTGCTGGAGTATGGTGGCGGATGAGAACCACTGTACACCTGGTCTTATAAAGCTGTGGATGACTGCTGGAGTGTGGTGGCGGATGAGAACCACTGTACACCTGGTCTTATAAAGTTGTGGATGACTGCTGGAGTGTGGTGGCGGATGAGAACCACTGTACACCTGGTCTTATAAAGTTGTGGATGACTGCTGGAGTGTGGTGGCGGATGAGAACCACTGTACACCTGGTCTTATAAAGATGTGGATGACTGCTGGAGTGTGGTGGCGGATGAGAACCACTGTACACCTGGTCTTATAAAGATGTGGATGACTGCTGGAGTGTGGTGGTGGATGAGAACCACTGTACACCTGGTCTTATAAAGATGTGGATGACTGCTGGAGTGTGGTGGTGGATGAGAACCACTGTACACCTGGTCTTATAAAGATGTGGATGACTGCTGGAGTGTGGTGGTGGATGAGAACCACTGTACACCTGGTCTTATGAAGCTGAGTAGACAATATGTCATTAATATCAATTACTTTCAAAATTACTTATCTCTGACTCATTTTGTAAACAAAACATAACCAAAATAAATTTGGCTTCCAGTGAATCAGATTAGCTTTTTTATCTCTTTAATTCACACCAGTTGCTCCATCTATCATCATTGTATTATGCAGGAAGAACCGCACGTCTATGGGTCATCCAATAAGATTAGCAGACTTCTAGATGTTACCACTGCTAGGCTTAGGCTCGGCTACAAGTACCTGTGGGAGTTTGTAACATCTGCTGATGTAGATTTGACAAAATGTAAACTCTGTAAGCAGAACTATTCGCATACTTTGCTTCATTATATAATGGAATGTGAAAAAATCGCGGAATTCAGAGATAACACTATCAATGGAGTACAAGAAATGTATAAGTACTTCTTTCATAATGCTATACTGCCAGGAATCTTAGCGAAGTATCCAAAATTTGCTTACTGTAGGTAATACATGCATGACTGTAAAGCTGCCGTCCAGTTGAGTGGGTGTGGAGCACATGACTGTAAAGCTGCCGTCCAGTTGAGTGGGTGTGGAGCAAGACTAGTAACTGTGTGACTCACCATAGATATAAAGTGCTATGTATAGTGAATGTTGTGAGCCTTTTGAATTACTTGTGAGACAGAAGAGTATCGATGTGTACATGTATTTGTGTAAATGATTGTATATACATGTACATGTATATATAACATTAACAATTATGTAACTAGTTTCAAAAGATTGTCACTTGCTTAGCTAAACGAACAATGGGATTCCGTTCCTGAACCCATTATGTGCCTTTGTAACCCTTTCCACTACCACCACCCCCCACGGGATGGGTATGGGGTACATAATAAAGAACAAAATGAAATTGAATCCTGTCAACCGGATAACCGGTTCCTTAACACACGCGTCACTTTATTAGTGGAACGCTTATGTTTTTTTACCGTGTCGAAATATGTGGTCAGTTTTGCCAGCCTGTGGTTGCTGCATTAGTGATGCTTAGCACGAAGTGCATTTAACAACTAAAATCCTGCTCCCCTTTCGCTAAACTTATGCTAAACTACGCCCCTAGAGAACCGGCTTGCCCACTTGCCTATTATCGTTTAATTTTACAATTATTGTTACTGTAATAAATTATTGTTTAAAAGAAAATCATATGACAGATTCAACTCTGTAAAATAGAACACGGAACACAGATTTAAAAGTAACTTAGAATAGTGACACTTGCACCTCAGTATACATCCAGGTGGGGGGAGGGATGTCCCACAGGCAGCGACTTGGGAGTGTAGCAGACGTGTGGATGAGGAAGGCGTCCAAACAGGTTATCATTTGGGCCGGATGAAAGGCAGAACAATTGGAACACTTTTTTCAGGACCCCGACGTCGGAGGGATTCTCCACAGCGCTCTATAATGCTAACTTGTATAATTTATTAATACAATATTTAGACCATCGTTGTATTTGATTATTGTTTTTATTTCACTGCGGCAGAGTTGTAAATGATTATGTCTGTAGGTTTATGAAGGTACTCTGATGTTAGGTTAAATCATCCTCAAGCCATTTTCGTCCATGTTGACGCTGTTCACAAAGGTGCTTTCACAACTTTTGTCGTACTGTGTATTCCAAATGTATCTTTTCGCATATAAATTAATATTTGTATATATTACAATTACGTGTATAGTTAAACCTATATTAGATTAGATGTTTTGGTTCAGTTGGTAATTATTTATAAATTAAATTAACATGTGGGTGAACAATTAAGAGTTATACGCTCCTAAAGAACACGTTAGCGAAGCAATGTTCTGTATAAAAGTGAACACAATCAGCTTTAAGATATGTGGAGACACGGAAGCAGTGTTTTTGGTTAACGAGTATTTGTTTACACGGCTTGGCGGATGACAGAGGTTCATTTTCAACATAAGATGTCAGTGGAGAACTATCCGAGTCGATTAGTGACATGTGCACTGATGGGTGTACCCCGTTTACCGATGTGTATACACTGAGAGCTTACTGTAGCCCCTGACTATACTGTAGACCAAAGTATACTTGCTGACTGGTCAGTAATCTATTGTAGCGGCTTAACCTTCCAGAGGTTGATAGACCTTAAGCCCAATTCTAAACTTCCTGGTTGATCAGTAAGCTATTGTAGTGGCCTGATAAATGTCCATAGGCCTTAGGCCTCAATACCAAACCAGTTATTCAAGGCGAGTAATGTGTAAAACAGTCAATCATCAAGACTTCTACTACAAACGGATGCCAATTCTCTCCTACCCTGTTCCTCGTCGAGAGCTTATGGCCACGATTCATCAGACTTTCAAGTATTCACTTTCAAAACCAGTATATCTTTCCTCAGTAATGGCGGCACAGTTTTGGGAAACACATTTTGAGCTCAGAAACTCCTTAACATTATCCATAAGAATAACAACCTTGGGTCTCGAACGACCACGCAGCGCCTCTTAGCTCGTAAACCTTTTAGTAGATACAGACAAAGCCTCCATGATCGAGGCAAGATGTACGGGTGTCGTAAGGGGATACTTGAATGCTTGGTGAACCCCGACACACCAGATACATGAAGTGTTGCTACTGTGGTTTGTAACTTACATGATTTATGCTATGGGATGGAGTACATCTGGCTGCTCATGCTTGTCGAGAAGGTCGTGGGATGGAGTACATCTGGCTGCTCATGCTGGTCGAGAAGGTCGTGGGATGGAGTACATCTGGCTGCTCATGCTGGTCGAGAAGGTCGTGGGATGGAGTACATCTGGCTGCTCATGCTGGTCGAGAAGGTCGTGGGATGGAGTACATCTGGCTGCTCATGCTGGTCGAGAAGGTCGTGGGATGGAGTACATCTGGCTGCTCATGCTGGTCGAGAAGGTCGTGGGATGGAGTACATCTGGCTGCTCATGCTGGTCGAGAAGGTCGTGGGATGGAGTACATCTGGCTGCTCATGCTGGTCGAGAAGGTCGTGGGATGGAGTACATCTGGCTGCTCATGCTGGTCGAGAAGGTCGTGGGATGGAGTACATCTGGCTGCTCATGCTGGTCGAGAAGGTCGTGGGATGGAGTACATCTGGCTGCTCATGCTGGTCGAGAAGGTCGTGGGATGGAGTACATCTGGCTGCTCATGCTGGTCGAGAAGGTCGTGGGATGGAGTACATCTGGCTGCTCATGCTGGTCGAGAAGGTCGTGGGATGGAGTACATCTGGCTGCTCATGCTGGTCGAGAAGGTCGTGGGATGGAGTACATCTGGCTGCTCATGCTGGTCGAGAAGGTCGTGGGATGGAGTACATCTGGCTGCTCATGCTGGTCGAGAAGGTCGTGGGATGGAGTACATCTGGCTGCTCATGCTGGTCAAGAAGGTCGTGGGATGGAGTACATCTGGCTGCTCATGCTGGTCGAGAAGGTCGTGGGATGGAGTACATCTGGCTGCTCATGCTGGTCGAGGTCGTGGGGTGGAGTACATCTGGCTGCTCATGCTGGTCGAGGTCGTGGGGTGGAGTACATCTGGCTGCTCATGCTGGTCGAGGTCGTGGGGTGGAGTACATCTGGCTGCTCATGCTGGTCCAGAAGGTCGTGGGATGGAGTACATCTGGTTGCTCATGCTGGTCGAGGTCGTGGGGTGGAGTACCTCTGGCCGCTCATGGTGCTTGAGAAGGCTATGGGATGGAGTACCTCTGGCTGCTCATGCTGCTTGAGAAGGCTATGGGATGGAGTACCTCTGGCCGCTCATGCTGCTTGAGAAGGCTATGGGATGGAGTACTTCTGGCTGCTCATGCTTGTCGAGAAGGCTATGGGATGGAGTACCTCTGGCCGCTCATGCTGGTCGAGGTCTAAAAGAGTTAGATAGCAGCAGACACTGCTATCAACCCTCATTCTACTGAGTACTGTGGCACTCTTGCCTCGCACATACTGGACAATAGTGCGCCTCCCGGACGTTCCACATGTATGAAATGTTATTTCAGTTGGTGAATAACAACACGTCACATAACAGGTAGTTAGCACTGGGCACGAAGTGGCAGACTTAGAAGCCACGAGTTAATCTGTCCTCAGAGATAACAGGCAAATATGAACCTTAACGAGCCATTGCGACCTAATTCGTCTCCTCAAGGTCAAACCAACCAAAGAAACTGCAAATATAAAACCAGCCAAAAACCTGTTTAGAATGATGAAATCACAATAGAAGCAAAAACTCCCGCATAAAATTTTGTGAAGATGGAGTTGTGAGGCTGAACGCCTAGACAAGGCTGTGACCTTGACGCTGGACAATGATAATGATATTTGCAACGTGAGAGAATGTTCGTCATTGTTAGAAAATCATCGAAGACATTGTTTTAAGTTATATTTCGTTGATTATCTTTATCACCTAAAACTATTACAATTTTTTCTCATTTACTTATTTTTTATTTTATCTTCTTCATATATATAAACGTGTTCTAATAAGTCTTCCTCTATAAATATGACTCAGACACAGGAAAAAAATCGTCAGTTATTATAATGCAGTTAAGGCCTTAGAAGATCCCCAGGAGGAAGGTGTCCGAAGAGTCATCCGGCAGCCAACTGGAACATGAACTGCAACCTTCTTGCCAGAAGCTTCACGTCCACCGTAACTGTTTCTCCATCTCCCCTCCGTCCTCCACTACTTTCCCACCGCCGTCATAACCTCGCTCCCCCAGTACACCGCCCCACCCATCTCGTCCCCCACAAACCCCGCCTTACCCAACCCCCGAAGCAAGCGCTGAGGTGGTGGACCAGTTGTTGCTGCCGTGGTCACTCCCTCTCGCGGCAGTGTCAAGGTCTCTCCTTTCCCTTTCAAAACCTAGTGATGCCACGACACTTTGGGCGAGTGAAGATCCGGTATATAAGCGGCCTGCGGTCGCCACTGGACAACACACTCGCTCCTCCACCTCAGCCAACAACATGGTCTACAAGGTAACGCCTCCCGTAGATAAGAACTCTTGCTACACTGAAACACACATAATGGACTCTAATAATCAAGGAAGTTATTCTAATACACAACTTCTTGGTTTCAGGTTTTCTTCGCGGTTGTCCTGGTGGTCGTGGCGTCGGCAGAGAAACGCCCCACCTACGGCCCTCCACCTCCCACTTACAACCCTCCAACTCCTTCCTACAACCCTCCTGTTCCCTCCTACAATGCTCCTGAACCAGTGGTACGTCCACACACACTGTCTTGAACACTTTAGTATAATTTGTACCCTACATAGCCATGTATATTTATGCTGGTTAGATTTGTGTCAGTAATAAGATATCTCTGGCCAGAAGCAACGATAACAACTTAAGATAAACTCATATACACCATCTTATATAATGCACTCGAGTGTTTTAATGTATTTTGTCTTGAACTCCCAGGGTCCTGCCCAGTACAACTTCAACTGGGCCGTGAAGGACGACTACTCCGGCAACGACTTCGGCCACGACGAAACTCGTAATGGCTACGACACTCAGGGATCCTATTACGTCCAGCTTCCCGACGGTCGCCTGCAGAGGGTTTCCTACACTGTGAACGGTGACTCCGGCTTCCTGGCTCAGGTTGAGTACCAGGGAGAAGCCCAGTACCCAGCCCAGCAGCCCAGCTACAAGCCCGCACCCACCTACCAGCCCGCACCCACCTACCAGCCCGCACCCACCTACCAGCCCGCACCCACCTACCAGCCAGCTCCAAGCTATTCTTAATGTAGTCACTAGATCGAACATTAGTATGTAACTGAATATATACAAATACAAACATTTAAGTAAAAGGCCATTTTTAATTATAATCCATCATACCAAAATTAGTTGCCCATTCACACGAGAAAAGAAGGGAATAACATTTAACAAACTTATGAGTGAGGTCTGGTTTTCACGGATAATTTCCTGGACACTTACCTCGATCCGTACACTGTACACAACTCGTAGTAGTACACTAGACATGGTGCTGTCTTGGACTCTACCACAGCCCAAATTGGAGTATTATCCTGGACACTTCCATAAGTCATGTTGGAATACTTCACTGGATTCTTCTACCACAAACCATATTAGAGTATTGTCCTGGACTCTACCACAAGCCAGATTGGAGTGTTATTGAACTTTTCAATATATAATTTTAAAGAACTGTCCTGGCCTCGATCATAAGATATATTTGAGTATTGTCTTAAACTCTACTGAAAGCCAGATTAGAGTACTATCCCGGAATATAAAAGAGCCTTATTGGATTAAAATCAAAATATGTGTTATTATAGGCGAAAGTATAAAAAACGCCAACCCAGCCACTAGTTGTCTCCGGATTCCGGAAAAAAATTAGAATTGTATTTAAACTTTAATAGTTATCCATCTGCTTCGTATGTGTGTGTAGGTGTATGTGTCGCTTTTCAGTTGGTAGGGCTGTGGCAGGAGTATTTGCGGTATTTAACATGTTTATGGTGCTATGGCCGTAATATGAATATCAGAGACATTCTGTTAATTTCCCCAGGATCAATGGATAGTGTTGCATATTGTTATAAGAACAAAACAATTGATTTCAATGTTTTATTTTCAAAGTATTTGCAAGGAAAGCCGGGAACCGGTCCCAGAAATCGTCTTGTGGATCAGTGTGTCTCTGGCACACTGTTTACTCTTGAATTGTGGAGACATCTAACAAGCCTATGTTCATCCCGTACCCCAGACCATTCCCTCTGCCAGTTTGGGTGAGGCTAGCCCCAAGCGTCTGGCTTCCAACTTCGGACAGACAGACATTCTCTCTTATAGTAAATAGGTATAGACTAGGGGGCGAGGGTGCCCAGTACTAACCGGGTTTGTCTATATATCTTTCTTCCTTATCATTCTCTCTGTCTATCTATCTCTATATCTCTAAGCTTCTATCTGTCTCTTTCTCCTTCTATCTCTCTCTCCCTATCTCTATCTTTATTTCTCTTTTTTCTATATCTTCCTATCTCTATTTATATATTTATATTTCTATCACTCTGTCCCTCTATGTATATATTTTATCGGTCTCTATCACTGTCTATCTATATTTGTATCTATATCTGTCTATATCTATCTCTATTATGTCTATCTGTATCTCAGTCTCTATCTCTCTCTATCTTACAATATTATTAATAACGCAATTAGTTCAAGTGTTAGTATGTTCTTATAATATTAATTAATGACATTACAGTTCTTACATTCTTGTACAGTCACTAGCACACGTAGCGTTTCGGACAAGTCCTTAATCCTAATTTTCACACACACACATCCCCAGGAAACAGAATGTTCAAGCAGAACATTGGAACATTCAAACAGAATATAATATATCCCCCTTTCGACTGTTTATAGTAGGGCATAATTTATTTTATGTGTTTATGGGATTACGGCGTTAATTTGAATAACAGGTAACTTCTGTTGTTTTTCTAGAGATCAGTGAATATAATGGTGTATCATGTTCCACAGGTCTGGTCTCTGCCATGTTCCACGGGTCTGGTCTCTGCCATGTTCCACAGGTCTGGTCCCTTCCATGTTCCACAGGTCTCGTCCCTTCCATGTTCCACAGGTTTGGTCCCTCCCATGTTCTACAGGTCTGGTCCCTCCCATGTTCCACAGGTCTGGTCTCTGCCATGTTCCATAGGTCTGGTCCCTTCCATGTTCCACAGGTCTGGTCTCTGCCATGTTCCACAGGTCTGGTCCCTTCCATGTTCCACAGTTCTGGTCTCTGCCATGTCCCACAGTTCTGGTCTCTGCCATGTCCCACAGTTCTGGTCTCTGCCATGTCCCACAGGTCGGGTCCCTTCCATGTTCCACAGTTCTGGTCCATACCATCTCAGACTATTCTTGCCCACTGTTTACAACTAGGAGTGCGGTGCATGACACCTTGGAGTATTCCTAGAGGGGGTTCTGGGAGGCTTCTATCCCCAAGCCCGGCTTAGGGCTTGTCTCGTGATAACTTGTTCCATTACGTCGTCGTTAGGTGCGGTTTTAGTGACTTGTTAGAGTAGTCGTAATGTAGCTAGTCAAAGGATCATCGTCAATGCAGCTTAAAATGCGTGTTTCAAGAACTTACACACACTCACATATGTAGGTTAAGTTTAATTCCGCCTCCTCTCACTCATATAAGTTGAAGTCTGGTAATATGTTTGTCTGAATAGTGCCAGCTGGTATCCCATTGAGGAAGAGAGCCTTCAGTAACTCCAGTTGTGATGGAGAATTAAAATCCTCTTAATGGGGGAATAAAAACATATTCATGGTAGGTGGGGTTGACCTATTAATCTAATAATGCGGGTACAATATTTTCTTCTATTGAGAAATCAGGTTTGTTTGATATGCATTGTGTTGATTGTATTATTATTTATTGCAGTATAAAATATATTTATGAAATGCTGTTTGACAACATTATATTCGAATCATAGTCTGGAATCACATTAAGAGTAGGTGGGTGCTGGCTGGTAGGTGGGTGCGGGCTTGTAGCTGGGCTGCTGGGCTGGGTACTGGGCTTCTCCCTGGTACTCAACCTGAGCCAAGAAGCCGGAGTCACCGTTCACAGTGTAGGAAACCCTCTGCAGGCGACCGTCGGGAAGCTGGACGTAATAGGATCCCTGAGTGTCGTAGCCATTACGAGTTTCGTCGTGGCCGAAGTCGTTGCCGGAGTAGTCGTCCTTCACGGCCCAGTTGAAGTTGTACTGGGCAGGACCCTGCGAAATGAAATCATATTTGACAAAATCTTCGTGACAAAAAATTGAATCTATGTGCATTAAACAGAGGGTAGCATGAAGAACTCCAATGGTAAATAATTCATAACAATTACATATCAAAGATCCACTGTGCGTGTGAAGATTGCAGATGTTCTTACCACTGGCTCAGGAGCATTGTAGGAAGGAACTGGAGGGTTATAGGTGGGAGGTGGAGGGCCGTAAGTAGGCCGTTTTTCTGCTGAAGCGATGGCCAGGAGGGCAGCTAGGATGAAAACCTGCAAAACCCAACTTAATGATTAACTTTGCAATATGCAGGCGATGAGTCACAATAACGTGGCTGAAGTATGTTGACCAGACCACACACTAGAAGGTGAAGGGACGACGACGTTTCGGTCCGTCCTGGACCATTCTCAAGTCGATTGTGTTCACAATCAAGTCACAATCGACTTGAGAATGGTCCAGGACGGACCGAAACGTCGTCGTCCCTTCAACTTCTAGTGTGTGGTCTGGTCAACAACTTTGCAATACCTTTAATGTCAAGTAGTTATGCAGTCCTAAGTTTTCGTAGCCAAAAAAGTAGTTGATGTGAAGCAATATATATAACATTAACACAGAGACGAATCTAAAATTGACAAAGATGATGTCGTGAAAGACTACAACTAAGTGTTTGTGCTTTCACTGCTGAGCAAAATATATGATAAGATAGCAAACTGCTATGCAAAAGAATGACACAGCATATATAATTTTGCTTTCGAGTACTCGGCATTGCAAAATTTCTTAATGAAAATCATAATGATTTCTTAATGAAATCATACGTAAGTCTATAATTAATATTTGCAATGTTGCATATCCAGCTGTTAAAAGGCAGATGAAGAGTCATACCGAAGATCAGCATGAATAAAAACTAGTTTTTCTACATAGCAAACGTCGCGTATGAGACTACCTTTAGGACCATGTTGACAGGTGTAGGAGTGAAGCCAGACTGATGCCCAACTGTGGAAGAGCCCGCCTTATATAGGGGAAGCTCCATCTGGCCGGCCAGCGGTGATGCAATCGGCCAGATGGGGAAAGTGGAGTGACTTTTTATAGTTAAAGGTGCGGCCACGGTAACTATTCTCGGGCGTGACGGACTTCCTAATCATCACTGACCTCATATAAGGTCAGAGTTCACCAGCTGCTTCTTCTGACGCCTGCTGAGCGAAAGCTGATGGCTTTGAAGTACACATCTTCTTTTTAATCCATTCTCGTATTATTTGAGATAAACTGTACAATTACCACGAAGATAATACTGAATTAGACTGGCCCATTGATGTGAAGACAGTACTGAACTAAACTGGACCACTGTCGTGAAGACAATACTGACTCAGTGTGAGCTCAATAAGGCCTGAGACTGTGGGAGAAGAAATATTTTACGTCATAACAGATATAATCGTTCTACCTGTCTTAAGGGTTCTGAGTAGAACCTTCAGAACAAACCCTGAAGATTCTACCTTTCAAGTTTTGCCTTTATCAGATATCCGATATTCTTCCTCTTCTTCTTGTCTTCTTTCGTCTCCTCCTCCTTCTTTTTCTTCTATTTCTTCTTCTTAGGTTTGATAATTACAAGCAAGACCTGCACTTATGTACAGTTACCTGCTGCAGTGACGAACCTGCCTTTCACTGTCTCTTAATTACGTTAGAACTGGTGAGGTAATTCTGTCTTGCTGGTCAAGCTATTGATTAGGGTCTACGACCTGGAAAAATGAATGCAAGCCTCTACGTCATTGCTGTCTTATATACAAACCCAACCTAACCTAGTCTAAACTAACCTTGCCCATCCTAACCTAACCTAACCTAACCTAACCTAACCTAACCTAACCTAACCTAACATTGCCCATGTTAGCCTAACCCAACTAGTAATTCAACTAGTTACTAGTGTTAGTAACCTAACCATATGGAATGTTTCTATTCTTCCTGAAATGGGTATCAAATATACCTTTCCATGTGTTTTGAATTATTGGTAGAACAAGCACAGAGAGACACTTATGGGAAAGATTATGAAAATCTTCCTGAGGAATTAATACAAAATCTTGGACTATGGATAGACCAAGACAGCAACAATATTTTACATTATGGAGGTATATGGAAGCATGCTGACACAGTACAACTATGGCTCTTACTGAGAAATCATTGGATCAAAAAGCTGATTGTTCTACATAAACATAAAAAAATACTTAAACATGAGGCAGTGTTTGACCACACCACACACTAGAAGGTGAAGGGACGACGACGTTTCGGTCCGTTCTGAACCATTCTCAAGTCGATTATACACAATCGACTTGAGAATGGTCCAGGACGGAGCGAAACGTCGTCGTCTCTTCAATTTCTAGTGTGTAGTCTGGTCAAACTACTTCAGCCACGTTATTGTGACTCATTGCCTGCATGAGGCAGTGTTAGACACCCTGATCCAACTGAGACAACAGTACTGGCTATCTCAGAGGCTCAAGTCAGCTAAAAATTCATGAAATACTGTATAACATGCAGAAGGTAGGATTCAAGAGTATAGCCATGTCTTGGTTCACCACCACTGCCAAAGGAGAGAGTTGTCCATCCACATCCATTTTAAACAACTGACATAGACTGTACAGGGGATATTACTCTCACGGGTACAGAATGATAAATACCATAGAAAAATGTTTACCTAGTTATTCAACTGTGTTTATTTATCACCTGTGTTTATAAATGAACTAGAGCAGTTCATTTAGATATAACACATGACATGACTGACAATTCCTTTACACAAGGTTTTTTATTTATTTATTTATTTTTATTTTATTTATATATACAAAAGTTCTTACATTCTTGTAAAGCCACCAGCTTGCATAGCGTTTCGGGAAGGTCCGTAATCCTAATTTTCCCTGGAATACGATCCGCCAAATCGTTTAACCACCAGAAACCCATTCACTGCTGGGGGAACATAGGCTACAGGTCAGGATTGGTGCCCAGTCAATCCTTCCCAACCAGGATACGAACCCAGACCAAAACGCTCGTGAAGTGCCAGGCAAGAGCTTTAACACTGCGCCACGGCCACAGGCTTCTATAGATTGGCTGCATGCCGAACATGCCCTAAAGTGATGCTTTCAGACAATGGAACTAATTTGGTAGATGGAGAAGCATGTTTGTGGGAAATCTGTTCACTCACCACAGTCTGTACAGCATTTGACCAATGTCAGTGGAAATGGAAATCTATTCCACCAAGAGCACTATGGCATGGAGGTTTTAACGAGATGATGGTAAGAATTGTAACACGATACCTAAGGAAGACGTCCCACTGCCGGAGAATAAAACTCCCGGAACTTCAAACAGTAATCGTGGAGATCAAATCAGGAGTTAACAATCAACTATTGATGAACCATTTGAAATTATTGTCAGAAGATCCTGCTCAGCACGTGCCAATTTTGAGATATATACAAGAGTTGTTACATTCTTGTACAGCCACTAGTACGCGTAGCGTTTCGGGCAGGTCCCTGGAATACGATCCCCTGCCGCGAAGAATCCTTGTTACAACCAAGTACACATTTTACTGTTGCGTTAAACAGAGGCTACAGTTAAGGAATTGCGCCCAGTAAATCCTCCCCGGCCAGGATACGAACCCATGACATAGCGCTCGCGGAACGCCAGGCGAGTGTCTTATCACTACACCACGGAGACTGTCAAATTAGTCCAGCATACTTGATGAATGTTGGACCCGTGACTCCAGCACCAGCCTTTGCCGATGAGCAGATCAAAGATCCGTCCTAAGTGGATGACAGTGAGTTGATACAAGGGTATAAACATCTTTTGAACATAATTAATAAGTAGAATGATGTATAAATGAAGACTTAATATTATTAAGAGAGCACCATTATGGGGCAAATTCCCCTTACAAGTAAATAAGCATTCAACCTGGTGACATAGTCTTGGTGATCAGCCTGAGTTCTGAATGGCCATTAGGTAAAGTTGTATCATCCAGTCAGACAGTTCGGGTATATTAAACATATTTAATGTTCTATCTAAATGAAGTACCAACTCTAAAGATACTAGAAAAGTTAGCACATTTGAAGACCATGGGTCAGATATATTCTGGACAACCCCTCAGGATTGCGGCACAAATGAGCAAATAAAACTCATGAATATACTAACAAAATCCAACTGAAAGATAAGTAGTCACAATAACGTGGCTGAAGATAAGATGACCAGACCACACATCACAAGATGGAGAAACGACGGCGTTTTGGTCGGTCCAGGACCATTATCAAGTCATGTGCGAGGGAGCGAGAATGTTGTTTTAAATTCAGCTACTGGGAACACAAAGTTGCAAGTAGCACGGGCTATGGTGAGCCCGTTGTGGACTTACCTGGCACAGGAGCGGGGCAAGTAGCACGGGCTATGGTGAGCCCGTAGTGGACTTACCTGGCACAGGAGCGGGGCAAGTAGCACGGGCTATGGTGAGCCCGTAGTGGACTTACCTGGCACAGGAGCGGGGCAAGTAGCACGGGCTATGGTGAGCCCGTAGTGGACTTACCTGGCACAGGAGCGGGGCAAGTAGCACGGGCTATGGTGAGCCCGTAGTGGACTTACCCGGCACAGGAGCGGGGCAAGTAGCACGGGCTATGGTGAGCCCGTAGTGGACTTACCTGGTACAGAAGCGGGGCAAGTAGCACGGGCTATGGTGAGCCCGGGGGGAGGGGCCTCGTAGCCTGGTGGATAGCGCGCAGGACTCGTAATTCTGTGGCGCGGGTTCGATTCCCGCACGAGGCAGAAACTAATGGGCAAAGTTTCTTTCACCCGGAATGCCCCTGTTACCTTAATATTCGTCATAAGGAATTGCATTTTCTTTATTTTTTACGCTTGTAGATTAAGAATGTTTGCAGTTAGTAATCAAGCAAAGTTTATTTTTCAGCGTCACACAACCCATTCTTTTGATACATAACATCAAACGAACTCTGAACCTTTATCAATGTGTGTTTAATGTATATGGACATTCACTGTCTTCCTGTTCATTAACTAAACTTCACTTTTGAAATTTGGTGCGACTTTTTTATACCTCAGATATTCAATATATACAGAATTGGTGTTTATATTTTAAGTGTAGGATCAAGGGAAGATTCTTATGCTTCAGACTTTTATTTTGTTTTTAAATTGTCAATCACCTAATGTGTATTTAAATAAATATATTACAGACAATTGTAGTACTAAGTTAGGCATACACTGGAGTTGGCTTGTAGGTGGGTGTAGGTTTATAGCTGGGAGCGGGCTGGTAGCTGGGGGAAGGCTTGTAGCTAGGCTGGTAGGCTGGGTACTGGGCTTCACCCTCATATTCAACTTGAGCCACATAGCCAGAGTCGCCGTTCACGGTGTAGGAAACCCTCTGTAGACGACCGTCGGGAAGCAGCACATAGTAGGCGCCCTGAGTGTTGTAGCCGTCACGAGACTCCTGGTGGCCGAAGTCGTTACCTGATGGGTCGTCCTTCACTTTCCAGTTGAAGTCGTACTTGGGATTGCCCTAAAGTAAAAAAAGGAGGATAATTTTGGTTCATTGAATATATATTGTAAAATTTACTTTGCCAAAAATTCCTTTAGAAAATTTTCAATAGATAATGAAAAGTAAGAACAAAGGAAGCATCACAAATGTGAACGCTCGCTTATAGTTGTAAGAATAT